TAACAGGATTTCAAGATAGAGCCGTTATTCAAACGCCACGGATGACACTTTAATGTACATAATTTTGTCCTTGGCTGTTTCTCACTGTATACTGCAAAATCATTAATTTTTGTGGAGGTTTCATTTTCACTGAATTCATAATCATGCTAAATCCACAACTTTATATATCCACAAGATGATAAACAGATTAAAGTCAATAGGATTATAGTATAAGTTGACTCTGTGAAGATTAATCAGTGAAATCAGTTGCAAACAAAAGTGTTATTATTTGAAAAATCATGAAAAATATATGATTTTACAGTATATACTCAGATGTACTATTGTTTAACATCTGTTTGATTAACTAGTGTACAATTCATACCTCTCAAATGTACACATTCCAATCAATATAAATAACTGATATATTAGTATAAAGCAGACAGCTCCTAATGGGAGTTGAAATGTTTCTGTATATCATTAAACTAGGTATCTAAATGGCAGGCAATCTTGACTTGACAAGGTAATTTGACATTTACTAACCAGTAATATCAGTGTTATCACTTCATTCTAATGATCATGATAGTAACATAGTTATTACATTGGTGGTAGCTTACACGCAGGTGGTAGATATAGACAGGTGGGTATTGTGGACAGGTGGAAAGTGTAGACAGGTGGTAGATATAGACAGGTGGGTATTGTGGACAGGTGGAAAGTGTAGACAGGTGGTAGATATAGACAGGTGGAAAGTGTAGACAGGTGGTAGATATAGACAGGTGGTAGTTATAGACAGGTGGTAGTTATAGACATGTGGTAGATATAGACAGGTGGGAATTGTGGACAGGTGGAAAGTGTAGACCGGTGGTAGATATAGACAGGTGGGTATTGTGGACAGGTGGAAAGTGTAGACAGGTGGTAGATATAGACAGGTGGAAAGTGTAGACAGGTGGTAGATATAGACAGGTGGTAGTTATAGACAGGTGGTAGTTATAGACATGTGGTAGATATAGACAGGTGGGAATTGTGGACAGGTGGAAAGTGTAGACAGGTGGTAGATATAGACAGGTGGGAATAGTGGACAGGTGGAAAGTGAGACAGGTGGTAGATATAGACAGGTGGTAGATTTAGACAGGTGGTAGCTTATACACAGGTGGTAGTTATAGACAGGTGGTAGATATAGACAGATGGGAAGTGGAGATAGGTGGTAGATATAGACAGGTGGTAGTTATAGACAGGTGGTAGTTATAGACAGGTGGGAGATATAGACAGGTGGTAGATATAGACAGGTGGTAGTTATAGACAGGTGGTAGATATAGACAGGTGGTAGTTATAGACAGGTGGGAGATATAGACAGGTGGTAGATATAGACAGGTGGTAGTTATAGACAGGTGGTAGATATAGACAGGTGGTAGTTATAGACTGGTGGTAGTTATAGACAGGTGGTAGTTGTAAACAGGTGATAGCTTTAGACATGTGATAACTATAGACAGGGAGTAGTTAAAGACAAGTAGTAGATATAGACAGGGAGTAGTTATAAACAAGTAGTAGATATAGACAGGGAGTAGTTATAAACAAGTAGTAGATATAGACAGGTAGTAGTTTTAGATGGAGGTAGTTTTAGATGGGAGGTAGTTTTAGATGGAGGTAGTTTTAGATGGAGATAGTTTTAGATGGAGGTAGTTTTAGATGGGAGGTAGTTTTAGATGGAGGTAGTTTTAGATGGGAGGTAGTTTTAGATGGGAGGTAGTTTTAGATGGAGGTAGTTTTAGATGGGAGGTAGTTTTAGATGGAGGTAGTTTTAGATGGGAGGTAGTTTTAGATGGGAGGTAGTTTTAGATGAGTAGTAGATATACACCGGAGGTAGTTATGGACAGATGGTAGATATAAATGGGTAGGGTTAGGCAGGTTGTACATGATAATTGTTGATGGGTGATCCTGTTTCTCTAGACATTTTGACATTTATATAAGTCACATAAATATGTCAATTGAAAAAAATAGACTTGTTATATAACTCAGTGTAGTTATATATGGTATGCTGAACTATTACATACTGATAACTACTTAACCAGCCGTCACTACAGCCACTTGTGACGGTGGGTGGTACCACTATATTTAAAGCAATTTTGTCACCTCAGGCTAAGTACTCTTATGCACTTTGTCATTTACACTTACAGTAGAAAAGGTATGACCTATCTGGAGGTCAAGGTCACAGGAAGTTAGGCGACTGAAGAGGTCAAGGGTCAATATGTTTGAAGTTCAGCACTGAAGAGTTTTTTTTTTGATAGCCTGAAGCTGGTGTTGAAAGTATTGTGCACTATGTATTACAGGGGTTACATGGGATGTAAATTAATTTGTCCTCTGTTATATCTAAAGAAAAGAGAGAAATGTACACTGTATTTGTTTATGCATAAAGAAATCGAAAGGAGACTGGTGTTTACATACATACATATTTATTACAAATACATAGATTACACTTCTTTATTAAGTGAATGCAGTTACAGAAGATATGGGTGGGCTTATTACCAGACACATGTGTATTGCCTGATACATTACAAACACTAAGTCCATATTGAATCTGAGAGTAATTTGTTTGTGTTGACACCTGGGCTCGTATTCAAGAAACCATTCTCATGCTCAAGCATAGATTTTCTGCTCAAGCAAGCTTTTTAATAATTTACCTAAATCATATAAAATAATACAAATGTCAAATTTAAACCTTGAATAGAGCTTTGACTTGAAGTCCTTTCAAAATTATTGAAAGGTCTTTGATCTTTTGCAAAATCATCCTTCTTTATCAATTTTTAAGGCTTGAGCACAAAATTCATCAATGAATACGCGCCCTGATCATAAAGTGTTTGAACTTAAAGGCTTGAGATTATCAAGATGAGAATTTTTCCATGTCTGCAATCTCCTTACAGACTGGTTGTGTCCTTATATGCTAGATCTGTAGGTAACACCTTGCTGGAATGAAAAACCAAATATTTTGGTATTCTATTGGTATGTTAAATTTGATGTGGTTAATTGAGTTTCCGTGTCCGTGTGATGCTTAAATGATTATTTCATCATCTCTTAGATGTGTATTTGATGACACCGATGATTTGCTTTGTGTCAGAAGCTTTGAGCTTTTTATCATCTTCAAACATGCTGGGCTCTGACTGGATTAAATTTCTGCATCAGGGATTTCTCAGACATTGATGTGTTTGACAAGTTATTGTACTTATGTTGGACAATGTGAGTTAAGGCTTGCTGACTTGAAATGAGTTACAGTGTAAAAAGGATTGGGTCGGTGTGGCTTGTATATAGTATGATATACAGTCTCTGACACTGTTAAGTTGGTTAAGCTTTGTGCCGGGGATTGAGAGGGATATGTTTCCTTGTTCTTTTACAATCATAATTATAAATTCAAGGGTTCATCCCTGCACCTTAAATGCCCTCTTCTCACATTCTCAAAAATGTTGTTCAGAAATAATATTTTCATTAAATTACAATTAGACAGGTATAATACAGTTATAAACAGATGTCATACTGGTAAGTCAGGTGTCATAAAGTTATAGTCAGGTGTCATACTGTTAAGTCAGGTGTCATACTGTTGCAGAAAGACATCATACAGTTATGGAAAGGTATAATACTGTTAAGGACAGGTGTCATACTGTTAAGTCAGGTGTCATACTGTTAAGTTAGGTGTCATACAGTTATAGGCAGATGTCAGACTGTTACGTCAGGTGACATACTGTTAAGTCAGGTGTCATACTGTTATAGAAAGATATCATACAGTTATGGAAAGGTATAATACTGTTAAAGACAGGTGTCATACTGTTAAGTCAGGTGTCATACTGTTAAGTTAGGTGTCATACTGTTACACACAGATGTGATACTGTTATAGTCAGGTATCATACTGTTACAGGCATGTGTCATACTGTTTTAGACAGGTTTCATACTGTTATAGACAGGTGTCAGGTGTCATACTGTTTAGACAGGTATCATACTGTTGCAGGCAGATGTCAAATTGATATAGTGTAATATTGTTATCAAACCTTAAAAGACAGGTGCCAAACAGTTATTGACATAATGTCAAACCATTGTAGAAATTTGCCTACCTGTTAGAGAAATGTATCAAGGGTTTTGGACAGTTATTAAAATATTAACAGATGTCACACTGTTATAGACATGTGTCAGACTAGTCAGGCAAATGTACACACATGTACATGTGATCATCAAAGTCACATGTCAGACAGTTTGACACATGTACATGTGATCATCAAAGTCACATGTCAGACAGTTTGACACTCGTACATGTGATCATCAAAGTCACATGTCAGACAGTTTGACACCTGTACATGTGATCATCAAAGTCACATGTAAGACAGTTTGACACTCGTACATGTGATCATCAAAGTCACATGTCAGACAATTTGACACTTGTACATGTGATCATCAAAGTCACATGTCAGACAGTTTGACACCTGTACATGTGATCTTTATAAGTAGTATCAAACAGTCTGACACTTGTAGATATGGTCTTTATAGGCAAGTGTCAAACAGATTGTAACCTGTACAAGTGATCACTGTTGACAAGTGTCAAACAGTCTGACATCTGTAGACATGTTGTCATTATTGACAGGTTTCAAACAGTCAGTGTCCTGTACATTCAATTTATTTAGACAGGTGTCAAACAATCTGCACATGCACATATGATCTTTATAGAAAGGTATCAAACAATCTGATACCTGTACATGTAATCTATATAGGCAGGTGTCGAACGGTCTGACACCTGTACATTGGATCTTTGTAGACAGGTGTCAAATCGTCAGACACCTGTACATGTAATCTTTATAAACAGGTGTCAAACAGTCTGACACTTGTATATGTGATTTAATTAGACAGGTGTCAGATGGTTTAGAAACTTTTTTTAGTATTTTTTGTAGAAACTGTATTTATTCATTGGAATTTATTCTAGATTGAAATGTGTTTGTTAGAATAATAATTATTTCACTTTTTTTCCAATTTTGCATTTATCTCTGTAGCTGCAGCAGCTTGTTGTGGCTGGTGACATTCCATGTTCTAAAGAAGAAGCTGCCACCCTAGCCAGTATACAGTTACATATAGAAGAGGCATGGCCTGAACATAACCTTCCAAACCACGCCCACACCAAACCCCCTGACCTTACCTTTCTCCATGGGGGTAAACTCATCGACCACAAACTTTGGGCTAAGTCCACTGACCCACAGGAAAACCTTCGTAAACGAAAGGAACTGATACGAAACAATCGTGCTGGACGTATTACAAGTTCCCGTCGTAAAGGGCGTTTAGTTCGTCAGCTTTCTTGTGTTAGTAATAAGGACTTGGATGTTGGAAGTGAAGTGGATCTCACCAAATTTCTTCCACCGGATTTTAATTCCTCAAAGAAGATTCGATGTATCATTCAAGTAAGTTTTTCTCCCCTGTAATATACTGTAAATGCACGTAATTTGGTTTCAGTATTTTTGTTGTATTGATTTCATCAGCTTCCATGTTGTATGAATGGAAACTTTCAATGCACATGTACATGTTCTCTGGTATAAATGATTAAAACTCATTCAAAAGCAGAACTTTGTATACATTGTGTCATATTACAACTGATTCATGGACTTGATCACAGCAAATTTGTCAGCAACATGGCTTTGTTGTCAAGGGAACACAAAAAGAATGTTTGTACAGTTTATGTTATCAAAACATCATGGCAAATGGTGGTAGGTGAATTTGGGGTAACATAGATTGGGTGTGTTCAAGTACAGGAAATCTAGTGGAATTGCTGGTGGTATTGGAGTAATGCAGTATAACGGAACACACTCCAACAAGCTTATTTAGTGTATTTTAATTCTCATTTCAATATTCCTAGCCGTTCTTGTGTCAGTTTGTATTTTGCTGTTTCAGGAAAAACAGAAACAGTTGTGGCATACCCCATATTACGACAGCGAGATAAAATTGAAACAGCAATATATCAAAATCTGTAAAAACCTGCCATCATTTGGGTGTAAGCTGTACCAGGTGAAGGAACTCCTGAGAGGCAACACCCAGAAAAAGGTACAGCCTGGTATTATAAAGGTGATTTTAAGTATGCAGGTATCATTTTATACAGCTAGGTAGGCTAGTAATATTGACACAAAGATTATATTTTGGACTCCAAATAAATTTTTCACATTAAGCAAAGAAAACATTTTGTGTTCCTTTGCTTTGGAAATCCAATGATTTTCATAATTAATCTGTAATTATTACCCCACCCCACTTGATTAAAGTGGGGTGGGGGGAGATGAGGAATGAAATAATCACTGTGGATGAAGGTTGTAAGTCTGTGATAACATTAAGTACAATATATTTCATGAACCTTTTGACAGATTTAGTGTGTATTCACACCACCGCATCATTTCACGATACCTGGTTAGAGTTTGGTGGTCATAGGTCAAAGTTGAAGGTCAAAGGTCACCCTTGACCACTTTTGAAATAAAATGTTTATGTACAAAATTAATCCTCATGAACCATAGAACAGTTAGATTTTAGATTTTGGTTTTAAAATATGAAGTTCAAATGTCATTTTTGACCATTTCTGAAACAGTAACTGTGTGCTTAAGCTTTCTCAAGAACCCCTTTGAAGGTTTTGCTTAATATTTACCACACAGCTTCATAGCATTTAGCGGTCATCAGTCATGGTTAAATGTCAAAGGTTACCCTTGACCACTTCAAAAATAATCATTTTGCGTACAAGATACCTTCTGAACCCCTGGACAAATTAAATTTGCACCATTGCTTCTCCTTAGCAAGGTCATCACCAGTTTAGACTTAAGTGGTCATCAATCAAAATTAAAGGTCAAAGGTTACATATACTCTTGACCACTTTTGAAATAAAAAAGCTAATGTGTGCAAGATATCTTAGGAACTTAAGAACATATTTAATTATATTTACAACATAGTATCTTATACTTACATTGTAGTGGTTATCAGTCAAGGTTAAAAGTCAAAGTTCACCCTTGACCCATTTTGTAATAAAAAGCTTTTGTACGAGATACAACATATATCACATTAACCCTTTAAGAAATTAGCCCTTCAATAGATTTTGATCAGGAGAAAAAGATGGGGGAGTTTGGGGGTATGTGTATATATGTGAGCACCTGCTTACATTGTTTTCATCAATGCAGTGCTTTGACTTTGGGTTGATATTTTCTTCTGTGAGTTAAACTATCTGTATGATTTAAATATTTTCAAACATACTTAAATGTGAATTCAAAAGAGCACTTCTACATTGTATTTATGCCGTATTGATATAACTGACTACCTATAATTAACAAAAACCTATTTGTTGAAAAATTCTAAAATCGAAAGGAAAATATTTACATACAATTAATTTTGATAAACAGGCTGTTCGCTTGCTGGGAATCGCCACAGACAAAATTGTGTTGTTGGACAACAAGACAAAGCTCTTGCTAAAAACACAGAGTATACGTGATCTTGAAGAATGGAACACAGGGAGTGGAAAATACCATGATGGCCTGGTGCTGGAGTTTCGGGGTACCAAACCTTGGCACCTTTCCATGGCAACCCTTGACAACCTGAAATCTGTAACGGCTGTATTATGGGATGCCTTGGATATGGATGGAAGGTTCCTAAACAATGGAACGCTTCGTCGGGATAGCTTTGAGTTTGGTATGAAACCTTTTATCATTATCCCATAGATTTCCAGGTTTTTTTTATAAAAAGAGAAATATCTGTTGATGTTCACTTGACTAAGACACCAGAGGCTGTTTGGAGGACTTGTATTTATCCAGAGATAAGTCTGTCTGGTAATAAGCCCACCCATAACTGTTGATGTTCACTAGACTAAGACACCAGAGGCTGTTTGGAAGACTTGTATTTATCCAGAGATAAGTCTGTCTGGTAATAAGCCCACCCATATCTGTTAATGTTAACTAGACTAAGACTACAGGGGCTGTTTGGAGGACTTGTATTTATCCAGTGATAAGTCCATGTCTGGTAATAAGCCCACCCATATCTGTTGATGTTAACTAAACTAAGACACCAGGGGCTGTTTGGAGGACTTGTATTTATCCAGTGATAAGTCCATGTCTGGTAATAAGCCCACCCATATCTGTTGATGTTCAAAATAGACTAAGACTACAGGGGGTGTTTGGAGGAGTTGTATCCATCCAGTGAAAAGTTCATGTCTGGTAATAAGCCCACCTATATCTGTTCATGTTCAAAATAGACTAAGACTACAGGGGCTGTTTGGAGGAGTTGTATCCATCCAGTGAAAAGTTCATGTCTGGTAATAAGCCCACCCATGTCTACTGTTGATCAGTAAAAAATACTGTAAATACAGTAAAAATGAGTTGTTAGTTAAGCAACTGTTGTAAAGAATGTTGTTTTTGTTTTTGGCTTTTTTTTTTTTTGTTTTTTTTTTTTTTGGGGGGGGGGGGGGGGGTGATTTTTGTTAATTTGATTGATTTTTGTTTTACTTTTTCAACTGTTCATGTTTTCATGGTCTTGTATGCTTCAGATTTTCATAGTTCCATATGGTTTAGATTCTCATAGTTCCATATGGTTCAGAGTTTTATAGTTCCATATGGTTCAGAGTTTTATAGTTCCATATGGTTCAGAGTTTTATAGTTCCATATGGTTCAGAGTTTTTTATAGATCCATATGGTTCAGAGTTTTATAGTTCCATATGGTTCAGAGTTTTATAGTTCCATATGGTTCAGAGTTTTATAGTTCCATATGGTTCAGAGTTTTATAGTTCCATATGGTTCAGAGTTTTATAGTTCCATATGGTTCAGAGTTTTATAGTTCCATATGGTTCAGAGTTTTATAGTTCCATATGGTTCAGAGTTTTTTATAGTTCCATATGGTTCAGAGTTTTATAGTTCCATATGGTTTAGAGTTTTATAGTTCCATATGGTTCAGAGTTTTATAGTTCAGAGTTTTATAGTTCCATATGGTTCAGAGTTTTTTATAGTTCCATATGGTTCAGAGTTTTATAGTTCCATATGGTTCAGAGTTTTATAGTTCCATATGGTTCAGAGTTTTATAGTTCCATATGGTTCAGAGTTTTATAGTTCCATATGGTTCAGAGTTTTATAGTTCCATATGGTTCAGAGTTTTATAGTTCCATATGGTTCAGAGTTTTATAGTTCCATATGGTTCAGAGTTTTATAGTTCCATATGGTTCAGAGTTTTTTATAGTTCCATATGGTTCAGAGTTTTATAGTTCCATATGGTTCAGAGTTTTATAGATCCATATGGTTCAGAGTTTTATAGTTCCATATGGTTCAGAGTTTTTTATAGATCCATATGGTTCAGAGTTTTATAGTTCCATATGGTTCAGAGTTTTATAGTTCCATATGGTTCAGAGTTTTATAGTTCCATATGGTTCAGAGTTTTATAGTTCCATATGGTTCAGAGTTTTATAGTTCCATATGGTTCAGAGTTTTATAGTTCCATATGGTTCAGAGTTTTTTATAGTTCCATATGGTTCAGAGTTTTTTATAGATCCATATGGTTCAGAGTTTTTTATAGATCCATATGGTTCAGAGTTTTTTTATAGTTCCATATGGTTCAGAGTTTTATAGTTCCATATGGTTCAGAGTTTTATAGTTCCATATGGTTCAGAGTTTTATAGTTCCATATGGTTCAGAGTTTTTTATAGTTCCATATGGTTCAGAGTTTTATAGTTCCATATGGTTTAGAGTTTTATAGTTCCATATGGTTCAGAGTTTTATAGTTCCATATGGTTCAGAGTTTTATAGTTCCATATGGTTCAGAGTTTTATAGTTCCATATGGTTCAGAGTTTTATAGATCCATATGGTTCAGAGTTTTTAGTTCCATATGGTTCAGAGTTTTATAGTTCCATATGGTTCAGAGTTTTTTATAGTTCCATATGGTTCAGAGTTTTTTATAGTTCCATATGGTTCAGAGTTTTATAGTTCCATATGGTTCAGAGTTTTATAGTTCCATATGGTTCAGAGTTTTATAGATCCATATGGTTCAGAGTTTTATAGATCCATATGGTTCAGAGTTTTTTATAGTTCCATATGGTTCAGAGTTTTTTATAGATCCATATGGTTCAGAGTTTTTTATAGTTCCATATGGTTCAGAGTTTTTTATAGTTCCATATGGTTTAGAGTTTTATAGTTCCATATGGTTCAGAGTTTTATAGTTCCATATGGTTCAGAGTTTTATAGTTCCATATGGTTCAGAGTTTTATAGTTCCATATGGTTCAGAGTTTTATAGTTCCATATGGTTCAGAGTTTTATAGTTCCATATGGTTCAGATTTTTTAGTTCCATATGGTTCAGATTTTTCTTTTCATATAATAGGATGTATTTTATGCAGCAGTTATGAAATGGACTATTGTTTTTATTACCATTTTTTACTTTTTTCCCATTTTTTTTCGATCATGGAACCTGGCCAAAATTAGAACTGCTAAAAATAACAATTTATAAGTAATTATAATATCTGTTTGTTTTTGGTTTCTTCAGCTGATGAAATATAAAAACTGTCATATAACTTTGAACCAAATTTGTAGCAAAAATATGGATAAAAATGTCTTCCACACAGATTTCCATAGAAAGCCACCCTTGCTACGGCCAGCTTTGGAGGGAGGAAGTAAATATTCAGAAGAGCTGGAAAATCTTCAAAGACTGTTACATTTCCCCGAAGAGGTTGCGATATTACTGACAGATATGGAGCACACTTTGTTTAACGAGATACCGCCATCACATTATATACGCCAAGTGACCACAGACCTGTCCAGAGGGTCAACTGTCTACCGAAAACTGTCCAGCGTCGAGGATCTCATACAAAGGTTTAATGAGGTATAAAATATAGTCTGTTCGTCTTTATATCCAATGTCTTCTCACCTTTTATTATTTTCTTTATTTGTGGGCTTTTTTCCATTCCTGTTTTTCAAAAATAGAGATAAAACATTTTTTGTAAGTTATCTGAAATTGAATTTTGGAAATTTTGAAGAGACACTTGGACAAAATGACAAAAATGAAGGACACAAATGTGGTATGCTTATTTGGTGGGAACTGAATTGTATGATTAGTAGGATTTTAAAATATTATTTTAAATCAGAATTCCCTTTAGATTTAACGAGAGTACATTTTGATGTAGAATTATTTACTGTGTTTCTATAGGTGAGTTCCTGGGTAACGCAGTTGATTATTACCCAGCCAACACATGAGGATCGTAAGGCAATACTCTCTTGTATCCTACGTCTTGCCTTTTACTGTTGGTGCCTCGGCAATTTCAACACCACCATGGAGATTGTCGCTGGACTCAAGTAAGTTCTGTAACTATAGCTTTAAATCATGATATTTATTTCAAGGCAATTTGAGTACTAGTCTGGCTTAAGGTATCCTGCAAGACAGCCAAGGAGGTCAATGCTTTACTTCCTACTTACAGTCAGGTCTAGACTAATTTCGAGCGATGAAAGGTTTATAGGAATTTATAGTAATATTAATGGGTGGGCTTATTACTGGGCGTGGGGTCTAATATCCACATGAATAAGGATATATAGAATTTAATGTTTATTAATTTTGTGGCTTAAGTACGGTACTATTTAGTTTTACTTCAAGAAATGCAGAAACTTTGAATATAAAGGTTGGTTTATTTGTTTCTTTATAAAGGAAGAATGAAAACAAAATGTAATCAACATGTACAGTGAAAGTTAATCCTTGATTGTAAATAACAAAAAATTCACATTTGTATTACAGGTCTGAGAAGCTTAAGCCATTTTGGCTGTCATTATGTGACGAGGACTTGTCAACTCTACACATGCTCTCTAACTTTCTGTTGTCGCGGGAACTAACCCAGGAATACCGAGAGGCAGTTGGGCGTGGCCTTGACATTCCAACCTGTAAAGTAGTGCCATTTTTTGGTGGATTCCTTCGAGAGCTCCGAGCGCTTTTCATTAATGTTCCAAGTATCATCGTTCTACCTTCAAAGGAAAACCAGTCACTAGAGGTATGTTTTCAAGAACTGGCATATTACATGTAGACACTACATTCATTTTGATATAAATTATCACAATGCATTAAAGTTATTTACAGAAAAATAATCGTTTTGTCTGTTATTGTGGGTTGGGGATGTAACCTGTCACTGGTCTCCTTATGTGATGTCGGGTTGTAAGTGTTGGAGTTCACTGACAGCAGATATTGACTGTAAGGTCTATGTGACAGTTTTAAGTAGGCACACAAGGAAGTGAATGAATAGAAGTTTTTTTTTCGACAACTTCCTGTTATTAGATCTTGGTAATGTCAGCTTGTGTCTCCAGATTTAGTCATTTATTTCTGGTGTTTTGCTAAGTAACAAACCTTAATTCAGTAACCACAACTGTTCAAGATTTAAATTTTTTTTGATGATGATGATAAAGACAATGCTGATTTAGAATCTTTATTTTTCTTCTGTCTTCAAAAGAGATTGTCCAGCAAAAACAAAATCTAGAAAATCTTTATCTTGTAACATATCCTGATTATAATAAGTAGGATATCGTATGTCAGCTGTAGAAGGTAATATCCGCATTCCTGTATTGTTGATTTAAACATTGGACAGAACTAGGAAACTGAGTGTGGTGAGTTGTGAGTTTTATCATAGCATCAGGCCACATACTGTTTATTATGTATCTAAAGGATTTGATTATACTGATTTTATAAATGTTTGCAATATTCACAATCTTTCCATGGAATATGATCTTAAACATTTTAACTAATGATACAAGCTTTGATTAATGGCATATTATGGAATTTTTTTTTACATTCTAATTATTAATCAAATATGTAATTACATAATTGCTAACCTTCCCTATTTTGCAGGGAATTCCCCGATTTTTGTGATTTTCCATAATTTTGAGTGAGCTAGTGCAATTGTTCTCTTGGATAAAGTCAATCTTTATATTAGAATGAACGATTGTCATATTATTCACCATATTTTGGATGATCGACATTTGTGAAATAAGTTGACATCAGTTGATATATTTATTCTGTAAATAAGCCCATGAGACCAAATTGTTTTCTCTGACTCAAAGTCTGGTAATCTGCAATAAGTGAAGATGGGCTTATTACCAGACATGGGCTTATTGCTGGACAAGTATGGGTTTATGGAATATCTTAGCAAGTGCTGCTTAAGTGTAGCTGAACAGCAGTTAACGAGAATTGTGTATTTTATTTTCTTGAGATTTTTAAGGAGAGGATCATTTCGTGATGAGGATCAGTGTTTAACGAGGATCAGTGTTTAACGAGGATCAGTGTTTAACGAGGATCAGTGTTTAAGATAATAAGTTAATGTATGTGTTTTATTTTCTAGTTTATCTCGGATTTTAATGGAGAAGATCGTTTCATGACGAGGATCGGCGTAGGAGGCCTTATCAACATGGACAAACTACAACAGACCCATACAATCCTCAATGACATCAGTCTCTTCCATCACCATGGGAAGGGCCAGGAAACTGCACAGAGAGAGGAGGAAGAGGTCAAAAGGTCAGCACAATTGTATCAACCTCAATGTTTTGAAATATTTGGAAGTTTGAATACATGTCAATATAATCAGCCATATGTTGTTCTCCTAAATATCTTTTAATTGAAATTTTAGTAGAACCATGGATGATACATTATAATTTGTCCTTATTGAAAATTGCAAAAAGGCAATTAGATGATAAAAGATCATTTTGAGTGATGTTTTATTATTTCTCATTCATTTTTATTTTAACAGCCAGGAAGATTTTGTTGTTGAAGAAGTTGAGAATGAGGAAAATGACTGCGAGAGTGATTATGACCTTGACCTTGATTCCTATCAGCCTGTTCAGCCAATCATGAATGACCATGAAGTGGTTGTCATAACTCCCAAACTGGCTGGCCTGAGTCATCATTGGTTACAGTGTATGCACCACGGCAGCACCGTAATTCATATTGAGGACGATAGCTGTCGAACATATGTGTGCTACCTCAAACTTGAACTGGATAACACAACGCTAACTTGGCGAAAACCGTCATGGAGCTCACTAATGCCAGGAAATACATCCTACCCTGATTATATGTTAAAGGGTGAATCGGATTCCAGCTCCACTCAAGCGTTAAGTATTCGTTATACAGGTGGGGAAGATGTTTACGACACACTAGAGGAAGGTTTTGTTGATCTCAAACTTATAAAAGAAATTTCCCATGGAAACGAGGAATCACTAGATCTTAATCTAGTTGGAAAACGTCATAGTATGGATGATTTAGATGCCAAAGTAAATAGTATATGTATTCTGTATGGTTGTGGACATTTAGAAAACAAACGTTTATGGTTCGTCGCACCGAAAAACATGTGTAAAATCTGGTTGCTAGGATTACAGAGACTAATAAAGGCAGCTCACAAACTGCGACGTCAAACGGACAAAAGAATACAACTTCTGAAGAACCAGTATCTACAGTTGTATTACGAAAATGAGAAGTGTGTGGGGCCTACACCTGCTGAAGCTATCAAGGTAGACAACTCTAGTTATTGTCATTTATATCCCATTTAGATTCCTGTAAATTATGTTGTAGAGGACAATTTCAAGCATTAAGAGTACGTATACAGTCAGACCTGTCTATAAAGGCCACTGATTGGAACATAGAAATGTGGTTGATATATACAGGTTTGACGAGATGTATAGCATTCCTTATGTTTATTAAACCAAGATAGGAAGTGTATGATAATTGATTAATTACAATGGGAAAATTAACTCCATTTCAGTGATAAGGATATTGCATGTTTAGCTTATCTATCCCAGAGGGCCAAATGTGCTTTTGTGAGACTACAGTCATAAACAATTGAGCAGATATTGACCACATTTGGTCAGATCATAGAATTCTGAGGGGCACAGGATTTAATTCTTATATAAATGTTAAGGTCTGCACTCCCTTAGGGCCCTAGGATTCGGATCAAGTAGAAGAAATTAAGCAAAAATTATATCTAAATCCTAAATCCTTGGGTAAAGGGGACCCATTTCTGTATAAACATTAGGTCTCAGCCCCCTGGGACCATGAGGGGCAGTATAGAATAGGGAAACTGAACAAATTCTTTGAAATTGTTCATTGGTACAAATGGCCTGTTTCCATTTGGTCTGAAGTATGCTTGGGTGAAGAGAATTCTGTATGAATGGGTTGGCTGACCCCTTGGGGCAGATAGAAAGAGTTCAATAATCATGTAGAGATGGATACAATCATTACGAACTTCTTTTACTTTAGTTTGGATGAAGTTTGTGTTTCATATCAATGAAGCAGGGCTTAATTATATTTGTTGTGTACATATTGTAAACACATTTATTTTAGCCCAATCCAATTTTCAGCATAACATCAATTTTGAAAAAATAATCGCAATGAAGAATTTGCACTTTCACTCTTATTGTTATATTTAGTGACTTAAAGGAACTACAACATGCATAATCAGATTTTAGTGCAATATCTTTAGCATGAAAAGCACTAAAATATGGGTACCACTTAAATCTTTACTTAAACAGTATGTGTAACCTTTATTAAGATAACTAATTTATCATAGTTACCTGCTAATGGTGGAGGAGACCCTGTTTTCACACAATCTCCAACATCATAAACGATGAGTTCAGTTATCTAGTGTATATTTTAGTGGGCTTATTACCAGCTTTCAGGGTTATTTTTAGTAAAACATTTTTTGAAAATCCATATAAAAAAAAGGAAAAATATTTACTAACTAGATTTGATTAAATTATCAAAGTGTTAAATGGAAGCCCAGACCAACACATTACTTCTGATTCAGTGTCAGAAGGTGGTTTTATTAAAGGACGAAATAAAAGTATGGGTTTTTAATTTTTCTGGACATGGATGGGCTTATTTCCTGACACAGACTTATTGTTGGACAACTAGGCTACAGCTTGTGATTGGCTAAGTTAGAGTACTGGAGACAAAGCAGTCAAGTCAATTTGAAGACCTGAAGCAGATTCCCTACAAGACCTAATGAAGTGTGGTATTTTATGTGGCCATAGAGATACCATATGAGTGCAGTTATATATCTATCTGATAGATGAAATGATAAGCTAGTTATAGAACAGCAGATATATAGAAAATGGCATATAGCCTAGAGAGAGATAGTTATTTACATCATAAATAAAATTGTTAAAAAACAAACATTTTTAGTTCCAATTTGAAAATAAAAAGAAAAAAATCTTTAGTTTCAATTAAAAAAATTCTGGCAATAATTCCATACTTGAAATAAGCATACCTGAAAAAATAATTTTATTCATGGTCCTGTAATAAGCCCAACTGGAGTCAACCCATTACTTGTGCTTATAGCTAGGTTGATAATTACATAGGAGATGCAATAAGGCCATTTTATCATTGAGAATGAATCAGTCTATGTTTGATGATTTTATTGAATTAAAAATATGTTTGCAGGTGTTTGGAGGACGTCGTTGGCATGTGGAGCGACAGCTAATGAGCACACAAGATGTCCCCGCCTCATTCAAACGAACTGGTAGCTTTGTCACCTCTAAAATATTCAACAAAAAGTCCAACAATGCATTTTCAAATTCCAAGGTATTTTCATTATTGTAGCTTGTGTTAAGGAACGATTTTTCGTTTACCTTTGATTTCTGTTGAAATGATTTTCAACAAAGTAAAAACTATGAAGAAGATATATGATAATTTTACAATAATATCATAAAGGAGGAAATTTTACACCTGACCACACTTTGGTGGTTGTCAACCAGAGATATATCTTGTAAACCTCATAACAGGTTCTATGTATTTTTACATCAAAACAAAGGTGATCTCTTTAATTTCTGTGGTTCAGATATTGACAGATTTAACAGATATTTAAAGAAAAGAGATAAAACTTTCACAGAATGCATGAGTCAGGCAAATTTTGAAGTTCATTTTTTCTCTCAGTTTCTGAAAAAAACATCAGAAAATCAAGCCCCGTGATTATGAAAATCTTACAGCATTATAACCTGAATTTTGACATCTGACTTTAGATTATGATATCATCAGTCAGGGTCAAAAGGTCAAAGGTCAGAATATCTAAATGTTTTGTCCATTTGATTAATTTCTGCTTTATAAGATAGTGTCAGGAAGAAATTAACATATGTGACAACATTTTTCGCTGTGAATAAAGAATGAAGCATAAAGTTATGCCAATGTAGAGAATAATGTCAGAACTACTGGAAGTAAGGCAGGACTGCATGGTATCAAAATATGGAGCAAAAAGGTTGGACTGTGTTAGCCAGAATTAAAAACAACTGATGTACATGTATTTTGCTACTGGATGAAGACTTAGTAGTTTAGGTGCTTTTCTGGTTACTAGGCATAAAATGGATGACAGTAGTGTGAACACCTGTTTGATATCAGCAATTTAAACAAATTTCATTTAGGAAGATCATTGAGATTGAGAAATCATTAACGCATACAAATATATGTAACACTTAATTTTTAGTCTAAATGGAATCTTAATACTGGTTAAAACAGGTGTATCAGGTTTGCATGTGTCCGAGATGATGTCAATAATTCAAATCCTTAAAAGAAGGTTTCTTTTGTGAAATTGACGACCTGATCATGTATGTTATCTATATGAATTGGCATTGAAATGGAGAAGGATATTAAAAGCAGATTTGCTAAAGGCGTATCCTAGACTTTCCAACGTAAATAACAGTGTTTTTCCAGATAACTTGTTTTGATAAAGAATGTCAAAATCATTTTTTATAGCAAAAATAACAAATCATGCAATTGTTTTTTGTTTTTTGTTTTTTTGTGCATTTTCATTGTTTCATCTATTTGGAGACATACATATATATAGTTCAAGCTCTAGAAGTACCTCCACAACTGTTGCTGTCGTAATCGTAAAATCAGGTGATCATGTCCATTGTAAGGCTTTATATAAAGGCCTTTATTATCGAGGAAGATCGGCTGTCTTACAGGTGTGACAGAATCAGCACTGACGACTTAGTGGCCAATGGCACATCACTGATGTTTTATGGAAATTAGGAAAAAAGTATTGTTTTATATCTTTTTTTCAAATTGCTTTTTTGACAGAAATGTAATCGTCTAGTTGCTGTTCATTGTGATTATTTGCAAAAAACATCGCAAATGTGATAATTTCAGTACAGTTTCCTATGTGCAGGACTGGATGTATGTGTGGATTGAGGCTGGGGAGCGGGGAGTACAGGGGTAAAAGGAGATAATATAATGGTAACAAATCTCAGGCTCTGTATGATGAAGTTGATTATGTAATTTTTATGTTTTTCTTTTTTAAGTTATTAGATTGGATTACGTTTTAGCACTTATACTGTTCTTCTTTTTTTTAATAATTGCTTGAAATTTAGGGAACAGAAAGTTGATAGTTATGTCTCATTTCATCAGTTTTTAAGAAAACTTTTTTTCATCTGCAGGAGTCCAGTCCTCGAGGGTCAGCATCAATAGCTTCCAATGTGTCTTCATCAGACTTACAAAAAATGTCATCTCAGAAAGGCCATCGGACACCTAGTCCTCTTCGTAAAAACAAGTTATCTGATCTCAGCAAATCTTCAGTGCCAAGTTCCAGTGATCCAAACCTGCACCAGAACCAGACTGTTCAAAAGCCAAATGGAAGTCCAAGTCTCGGTTTCAGGCCTAGAAGCATGACATTCAGTTTTACAAATCGTTATCGATCAAAACGTCGTCGTATGTCGTTGGGTATGCGTACAAACGACAACAAAATGACTCCAATTACAGACTCTTCTCAGCTGACATTCCTGGATTTTGTAGATTTGTTCAAATCCTTCAGTCTGCGATGTAGGCGAGATCTCAAGGACTTGTATGAACAACTGGCTTTGACAATGAAACCAACACCAGGGAAAGACATTCCGACGGCTCTCAGGACACATGCCTACAATTCAGCTGGAAACGATACATGTAAGTTTTAAATATTCCGTACTGATGTTTGCTTTTAAAATAATTTTACTTTATTTATATGGGGCAATATCCATCCTTGGTATTTTTACTGTCACATTAAACGAAAGTAACACTGTATTTCATACATTACAAGACTATACATGTATTCAATTAGACCCCTACTGAAAGTAGTGTTAAATTGTTCAAAAAACAGCATGAAAATACCAACTTGTAAACATAATCATATTTCCAAACTCAACTTAAAAAAAACTAGGACAAAATATGAACAATAAAAAGACTTACAAGGAGACCCATGAAAATATACCAGGAAATTATGATCAGGTGTTCTGGACAGCAAATATTTCTGCTTTATTGCAACACCTGCCATATAAACCTTGGTCAATCCAAATGAGTAATGTCCAAGTTTCAACAGAACCAAAAGGCAAACTAATGAGCATCAAACATGCTTCATATCCCACAACGAGATCACTATGATGACTATAAAACTTCCCCAAAATTTTTGACAACCTTCGTCTTGAATATTGTTAAATCAATATTTAGTAACTGTAAGAGACATTTTTATCAGAATGCATATCGTGTAATACTCATGGCTATCACGTCCTTTTCCAAATTCAACATCATAATTATCCTGAGAACTTCGCGACAGATCATTCTGTTGTAAGTCAAAATATGGTGGCTATCTTTGATGTCAGGGCAGAGGATTGACATAGACCTTGAGAAAATTCATGACAACAACATAACACAATATTATTAGATCCTTTCATTTTAATACATTACTTCATATGTATCGTACATGCCTCTGTTTTTGAAAGAAAATTAATTCACCCAATGCTTGTACATGCTAGGATAAGGATCTTCAAGCGAAAACAATTTATGAAATAAGTGAGAATTATGAATATGAAGTTTAGCCCAGATTTACATTTTCTGCATTGATGTTTCAGGCATAATAACTAGAAACAATGCCTTAGATTTGACGAAGGACAGCCAACAGCGACGCAAGATTTGTGACGCCATTGCTGTCGCAAGTATTGTTGCCAACTGTGCTGGGGTCGATACATCACAGAACAGGTGTATCGGTCTGAAAGAGTTCCGTGAATTTCTGGGCGATCACCAGGAGGAATATCTAGATGACGAGGAAATTATTGAACTCATACAGGTGCGAAATAAATACTTAATCAATAATTAGTGTTAAATTGGTATGATGCACCTCATTGTGTATCATATTTATATGTTTCTCAGTGTAGAGATGAATTAAGTTACTGTATAGTTGGTTCACACGTCAGGGCCAATATTTCACAATCGTTCCAGTTAAGGCTAGTAGTACACAGGTATTAAATTTTGCATGTGTCCATCCATTTACGTTCACGTGACAGATATTTGTTTTAGACTTTTATTCAATTACTATTTGCCGGGTGGCTTCATAATTTCTTTAATTAACCCAGATATGGAGAAATATTGTGTATATAGTATCAACCAGTATAGTATCAACCTATTCTCTTTCACCATTGCTGACTTTATTAACAGAGATCTCCTATTGGTTTTAGCCTAGAGATTAGATGAAAGCTACCACCTAGATTTGGTGATGGCTTGCTTTCTACTAGAATCTGCTAACGTCTCTTTATCAGTTCTTCTGTTGATTAATATTTGGATGTCAATAAATTTTTTGTTTTTGACAATTTCATTTATGATGAGTGAAAAAAGAAAGTGGTGTTTTTATCGTAATTTACAATAATATGTGACGAACAGAAAAAGAAAATCTGAAGAACTTAATCATTTAGGTAAGTACCAATATAGATTTGATTTTATACTCATATCTCTATATATTTGTAGTAAAACTATAATGAATTTGAAAACTGGATCCATTTGATTCCAGAGGTGTTCAAGTTTGCAGACAATGTTTTAAGTGTCATTTAACTATTTCAGCGTCATGAGCCAGACAAGTTTCTCCGGGAAACTTGTTGTCTGTCTTTTGAAGGATTTGCCCGTTTTCTCATGGATAAGGACAACTACGCTTACCTTCACGAGAAAACAAAACACAATGATGAGGTAACACAATTTTTTTGATTTGATCATACATCACCTTTAGGCCTGTGAAATTTTTTTCATTTGAAATTAAGCTCCCATGTTTGAAAAAAATGGATATTTAATTTGCACCAAGTTACAGTTGCCACGATAACTCCATCAGTCTGGGTGTTGGCCTTTAGTGCTTCAGATGAAGATCTGAATTGTGTGTTTTGATGCTCCCTGCTCATGGCAGTTCAATATTATATAGTGTTTTTCGAGAAGCTCATAAACAAATTCCTCCATGCTTTCATGGTTGTGTCCTTTTTGCAAGACATCTTACTCTGATTGTTCTGGATGGTATACAGTGGACCTCCAGTATGTTGTTCAGTAAGGTAGCTCTCAGCTACTATAAGGAGACTCCATCTTACAATGACCATGCTTTGTTAGCTTGCTAGAAACTTCAGCTTAGGAGTGAAAGATGTTTATGGTCAGTACTCAGTGCGTTTGTCTGTCCATCACTCTGTGGGCTATCTATTTATCACTTCGTAAATGTTTCAGTAGGTAATATTTTGAGGGAGTGAATGTTCCTTGCCTTGCATAAGGTCTATGGTGTCAACTCCTGAGAAAAATATTGAACTTTTCTGTCATGTTTTTCCTTACAGAATTTTTAGTAGGCTAAGATGAACATTTAAGCTAAAATCTGTGTTCACATATTTTTTTTTGTACGAGTTTTTGATTTCTCTACAGGATATGGACCACCCACTATCTCACTATTACATTGCATCATCACACAACACCTACCTCACTGGTCATCAGCTGACAGGAGAGTCCTCAGTCGACCTCTATAGCCAGGTATGTATACACCAGGGGAAGTCCTCAGTCAACCTCTATAGCCAGGTATGTATACACCAGGGGAAGTCCTCAGTCGACCTCTATAGCCAGGTATGTATACACTAGGAGAAGTCCTCAGTCGACCTCTATAGCCAGGAATGTATACACCAGGGGAAGTCTTTGGTTGACCTCTATAGCCAGGGATTGACTACCTCGGGGCCTTTGTGCAGAGAGTAAAAGTAATCATAACCCCTGTGGTATTTAGGATGTTAGTTTGGATGAAGCAACATTTGTATTTCGGACAAGCAAAACTACAATGGCAATACAAGCCCTATCTGCCTCTTGTTATATTTTCATACGGTGATGTGCATTAGTACCTGTTGCTGTATTTCAGGTTTTGTTCATGGTTTGTCAGCGTGTTATTTTACTTACAGGTGTTGTTGATGGGCTGTCGCTGTGTGGAGTTAGATTGCTGGGATGGAGATGACGGAATGCCAATTATTTACCATGGCCATACCCTTACAACCAAAATATCCTTCAAGGTGAAGATCTAAAATTTCTTATATTCTAAGTCATGACGTTCTCATCAATAGTTTGCTTTTTAAGATAATTCACTACCAGACTTCTACACTTATTGGTGACAATCATCTTATTTCAATTAACCTTACCTTTTCATATATTTATATATTATGTTAATCTCCCTGGGTAACCAAGTTTACATGCAGTGCTCCACTAAAGAACACACCCAGCTGGTAACTGAAATTGACTCTAAATTACTCTTTATTCAGTTCCACTTTTGGTATTTCTGTCCGATCACTTCAGAACATTTCAGACTTTTATGAAGGGAAAACCCAATCACATACTTTTAAATATTGATGTTTAAATAAAAGTCATTTAACATAATTTCTGATAAGTTATTATAAATGCCAATAAAGATGACAGTAATTTCCGTATAATAAAATTGTGTATGTTATTTTCTACTGATAATTCCTGTTTAAAAACATCCAAGAATATATTTTGATATTGGAACCCTACATCAATAGATAAGTAAATAAAAAAGTAGATGAATAAATAAATGAATTCATTAATTGATGAAATAAGTAAATATCAACACACAAAATTTGTTCCAATATTGAATTTATTGCTGGACAACTCTACTTTCAACTTAAATTTAAATTCTGTGAAAGAAGTCTCTTTTATAGATATAAATACATATATTATATTATATAATTATATGTAATATATTGATATAATATAATATAAGATATATATTTATAGATCTCCTGGATCAGCTGTATAGATGATCAGACACAAACCAATATAGTTTGTAAGTGCTGATCCTGATTATTGTTACTTTGTCTCTAGGCTGTTGTGGAGGCCATTAACAAGAGTGCCTTTGTGATGTCTCCCTACCCAGTGATCCTGTCCATAGAAAATCATTGTTCCATCATTCAGCAGCAGAAGATGGCGGTCATCTTCCAGGTAGGGCTTTATTTTTATCTCATCTAAAATTTGACTTTATTTTTATCTCATCTAAAATTTGGCTTTATTTTTATCTCATCTAAAATTTGACTTTATTTTTATCTCATCTAAAATTTGGCTTTATTTTTATCATCATCTAAAATTTGACTTTATTTTTATCTCATTAAAATTTTTAGCTCATCATCTAAAATTTGACTTTATTTTTATCTCATCTAAAATTTGGCTTTATTTTTAGCTCATCATCTAAAATTTGGCTTTATTTTTATCTCATCTAAAATTTGACTTTATTTTTAACTCATCTAAAATTTGACTTTATTTTTATCTCATCTAAAATTTGACTTTATTTTTATCTCATCTAAAATTTGGCTTTATTTTTATCTCATCTAAAATTTGGCTTTATTTTTAGCTCATCATCTAAAATTTGGCTTTATTTTTAGCTCATCATCTAAAATTTGGCTTTATTTTTAGCTCATCATCTAAAATTTGGCTTTATCTTAAAATTTGACTTTATTTTTATCTCATCTAAAATTTGGCTTTATTTTTAGCTCATCTAAAATTTGGCTTTATTTTTAGCTCATCTAAAATTTGGCATTGACAGTGAACATATTGTAAATGTATTTCCTGTCATTCTGTGAGGAAAGTAAAACACTGCAATAAACTGGTGTGATTTTATCTGAATTAGGAAATAGCCAAAAATAAGTAATAAAGTGCATTTTCAGTCTTGTATTATTTATTTCACAGAGCGTGTTTGGAGAAAAGCTGGTAACTTCATTCTTGTTTGAGTCTGACTTCTGTGAAGATCCACAGCTACCATCACCGTGCCAACTCAAATTCAAAATTCTTGTGAAGTACAAGAAAATCCGTCACCAAGAAAGTTACACCCTAAAAAAGGTAACCATTCTTAAACAGTGTCGTATTCATAGGTTTCTGCGAGGGGGCCATTCACTATCTCAAAATTAGGGGTAGGACAATGACTCAACGTTTGATAGTAATTCTACGGAGTTATGTTATTGATATCGGCGGGCTGATTACAAGACATGGAGCTATTACCATATAGAAACAGTATGTTATGGCAACAGGGAGTTTATTGTAGGATAAATTTAGTAAATCACACTTGATTTGATTGACTCTTCAGATAATCATAACTCATGGCAACTATTTTGTCCTGTCAACAGGTACCGTCCTGTCCTAGAACAAACAGCATGGTCTCAACTGAAAGCACCTCCATCTCCATCAACGACTTTGATGATGATGACGATGATGATGAAGATGAGGATGAGATAGGCGATGGTTAGTAGTTAGTATTGAGGTGTGATAATCTGAATTGATGATGAAGGTAATGTACTTAGTAATGTTGAGTTTTGTTTCACTTCCAACAAAATTTGCATTATGGGATATCAGTAGTTTGGTTTTAATTGATATATTTTAATTTGTTTTTGTTCATAATGTTTATACATGTAACATTAGTCATTATCTATTTCAATTCCTGTGCTAGGAATCGAACCTTGAACCCCAGGCTTACTAGTTTGAGAAAAGAAGATACATACAGTATGATTTTTTCAATACAATTTCCATTTACCCAGTGACTGTGATATTTAGTGATGTTGCACTTCTCATCACGGTCTGTGAAAAGTATCAGAATTTATCAAATTAAATGACACACAATAAATTGTGTAAGAGAAAAATAGCTGCATTACACATGTGATAAAACTTTTTGCTGTTTTGTAGTAAAAGAATTACGGACATCTGTCGACAGTCAGGACAGTCAGACAGGAGACCAAGATGACAAGGGACGTAACTCTGGTTCTACACGAGCAAGAACTGATTCGTTCCTGGACTATCAGTCAAGGTAGAGGGAATGTTTGTACTTACAGGAACTTTAATGTATTTTCATTTTCAATGAGATTTTATGAAACATCTCTCTTAAGTTTTTATATCTGAAAATCATGGAAATTTTACTGGGTTTATATTTCACAGTTATATTATGAAATATTATGAACTATACTGTAGTTTAGATTTATTTGAACAATTCAATTACCTTTCATTTTTGACAGATTTAAATGGTTAGTCAGGCTATAAAATTTCGTGAAATACTTGCCCATGAACACAAAGACTGTTTATCATACGCTTTTAAATCAGGCCATCATCTGGATCATTTGGGGAGAAGACGCGACCAAAGAGTCACCCAGACCTTGACTGGCAGTTTGAGGATGACCTGCAGGAAATGAAAACACCACTGAAAACCAAACAAAAGAAGGCAAGTCAGATTGCAAAAGAGTTATCTGACCTTGTCATTTATCTCCAGGCCATCAAGTTCCGAGGTAAGTTGGTATCTATGATGGAGTTATCTTGTTCGATAAATCAATTATTTCTTACTTGTTAAAATGTGAGGGTCATAGAAATGGGCATCAACACTGGTCAGTGGTTGGCTGGATGATAGGTCAATTCTACCCCAGTGCACATTTTGTAACTACATAGACATTGGAACGTTGTAGTTTCTACAAAGTCAAAACATTTATTACTGATGTGGAATGTTAAAAGAGTGATTCACAGACTTCCACATTTTTGTTTGGGAAATCTGTCTTTTCCCTTTAACTATAAACATTTCATAATGAGAAAATATTGTCAGTTTTATTTCACATTTCAAAGTAAATGTCTGTATTTATTTTCCATATGTGATGGGATGATGAATTAAATCCACCATATTTATCAACAGGACAAAAAAAAGAAAAAATAACCAATCACCTCTGCAAGATTTTGACAGAAATAACTCAATGTTCATGATAAACATAATGCATGTTGATAAAAAAAAATCTGTACACAAAATAACTTTTAATTTGCACTATCAAATTCGCTCAACAGTAATAATTGTTACATTTAAACTATATTACAGAAGTTTAGCACAATATTATTTTAGCACAATCATATTTAAGCACAATACTTTCAGCAAGACGAGCTTAAGTTTAAAATTTGAAATTCATTTTGAAACAAATTTTTAGAAGTTCTGATAGACTTTGTTTAACATTAGTTTGATAATGTTTTTATTTGTTTTTTTTGTGAAGGATTAACTGTTAGTCCAAACACTTCAATGAGGAAGAAGCCAGCTGGCAAGAAAGTATTGTTGGGGAGTAATCCTGGAACTCCACCACTTACTTCAGGTCAGTTTAGAAACCATGAGAATATGTTCAATACATGATACTTGTACTTATATGTATATCAAGTTGATAATCTGTCGATGAAGTAAAGGGAGACAACTACATATCATCTGCTTTTGATTGTTCAGACAATTTTACAACTTTTCTTTCTTTCTTTTTTCTTTATTGCAGTTTTGTCAAAAGTTTGAAAATCTAATAAAAAATATTTATTCCAGACAGTATTTTTTTCTTGTTTAACATGTTAAAATTCAATCTTTATTTTTTAGATAAACCAGATATGAACATTTTCTCTGGGTATTCCCGTCAGCGTCGTCCAGATAGCACTCCTCCGTGTTATCTAGTGTCTTCCTTAAATGAGAGCAAAGCTAAACAACATTGTCGACGTAATCCCATCGGTGTCATCAAATATCCTTTTATCTAAAAAAAACGTATTTATGGTACTTTAGACCCGTTATACTCTGCTTAAAGTTTTCTCAATTATATTTTTTTATCTTTTCCTGTGGCAGAAATGATAAAATAAAATAAAATGAAAAAAAAAAACAACGTAATTTAGTGGTCTATCTTTTCCAGAAAAGATTAGCCCACCCCTCGACGATGAGACAGAGGAAATCAGTGTGTTTTAAAATAGACATTGATAATAATGGTTTTTGGAAATTGACAGGGAAATCAAAAGTTGAGGGAGGTACATGTACAAAGTGTAAACATTTATACAAGGAAAACTTGGCCTGTTTTTCCTACAGAAATCTTTTATTGTTTTTTTTTTCCTTCAGTTATCATCTTATTTCTTTAACAATGGCCACTCATACAGAAAAACAGCTGATGCGGACATACCCTGCGGGCATGAGAATTGATTCTTCAAATTTTAATCCCGTCATTTTCTGGGCCTTTGGAATTCAGATGGTTGCCCTGAATTATCAGACAGAGGGTAAGTCCTGTTTCACAGTTTCATCAATAATATAGAGATGCGATGTGATATGTTTTGAATTTTAATGGTAGCAGTATTTGAATCTACTGCATCTTATTCTAAATTTATATTGAAAGGTGCTATTCACTTGTGTGCCTTTTGTACAATCTTGTAGTTTAAGTACCCAGTTTTCAAAACTTTTTTTTTTTTAAATTCTTATTTTTCTGAATTCAATATTCTGGATACCTTCTCTAATGTAATTGGAATTACTAACATATGCTTTTATATTGTCTTGTAATAAGCCCACCCCCTGCTGACTTTCACTCAGAAATATCATGATATGGTGGACCGTGGGTAAAAAGCGATATACATAGAATTTTGATATCACATGTATGCAACTTTTTCCTTTTATTAGACACAGCCATGATTTTGAACACGGCCATGTTTGAGCAAAATGGACAGAGTGGTTATGTCCTGAAGCCAGCCACTATGTGGGATAAAAGTCACATGATGTATAACCACTTCAATCCGTGGGACAAGACTTTTGATGGTCTTCATGCTACAGTTCTTACCATCCATGTAAGTATAAATCTTATACTATTGTCTGCCATTTTTTTGCTTCATGGCAATGATTGAAATTGTAATGTACGCTAAAGCCAGATATTTTTTATATCATTTTACATCCAGGTCACAAAATTATAATTTGTTGTAATATAATCTGAGTGTTTAGAAAAGAAAATTGTGAAAATTTTGACCTTTGAAAATTACAAGCTATAGGGCAGTTTTACAGAATGTTGTATTGTCAGCACTGTACTGCAGTAAGTCCAGTGGATACAATTCAAATCTGCTAATTCTGATTTAAAGCTGGGGCGATAATTGTTTTGGGGTAGAGGATTTCACTGAAAAAAATAGATGAATTTTAATTGTACTAAACTTCAAAAGATACCAGTGTGGGCCTTATCAGCAAGCATGGACTTACTTCCATGAAATATGAAATATTTGAAGATCAGTCAAAGCTTAAAAGCTCTTGATGCACATAATGAATTCTGTATACCGAAATTCTAATGTTCTGTAGTTGGAAGGTTTTGATTTGGAGGAGTTGTTTCCCTTGGCAACATATCAAAATGTTTGTGACGTATTTTAAATAAAAATCTAAACCTTATTTATTTTTTTGTTACTTTTACATGAAGATTTTACATTGCTATCTTGTTTATGTTTTTAAATTTGATGTTTATTCTAAATTATTAATTTCAAATATTTTTTCATAAAGCGAAATTTGTAGATGATTATGAAAACAGCATTACAGATTCTTAGAATTCTTCAAATAAATCTTCCATTTAAACATCTTTCGGTAGAATTATTGTTCTTGACATTTTCTGTAAATATGAAGAAGGTATCCCTGATTGAATACAATTTTTAAAAGATAGTTTCTCATTAAAGGTCTGTATAGGCTACAAGAAGGTCTATGCCAATATATGGCAGCTTTATTCATGGTGAATGCATTTGATACATATGTTTTTGGGACCTGAAAATGACACACTCAAAACATACCCCCAACTCTCAACTCACAAACATGGGGAGACCATTCCAATATATGTTAGAATTATCTCCCTTTGATAGTAAAACATGTACCACAGTAACACTTAATCACTCTTTTTTATACTATATACCTATCATATAATCAGTTTTGTAACTCGAAAAGGAGGAGCATTTGTACAGTAAGTCCAGCATATCTCTTTAAGGTAAACTTGATTTAAAGTAGTTGTTGCCTTGACTTCAGGTAATATCGGGTCAGTATGTGAGTAACAACCACACAGCCAGTACTTACATAGAAGTTGAACTGCTCGGCATCCCAGTTGACTGTGCCAAACATAAAACAAAGGTTGTACCACGAAATGCACTCAACCCAATCTGGAACGACTACTTCACATTCCACGTAAGGACTTGTTTGGTTTTTTTTGAACTCTTAGAAAAAGCTTATAGGTATTTGTAATTATTAAACATTCATTTCAAAACAAGTAATGATCAATTATATAATCTGTTTCCTAGTTTTCAATTTCGCATTATCACAATTTATTGATAAAGTTCTGTTTTTTTTTTAATTTTAGGGGGAAGGAACAGGGAGTGGGCGAGGGTTTCAGTATTTCAGTTATGAGACCAAAAATAAGAATGATTAATACAAAATTCTTGTGATATCCTGGTTTACAGAATTCCATTTATAAACTTAAATACTTTTCGTAAGAAATATGAAAAACTGTGAAAGGAAGTGACTCAATTATTTGTCAAAATACATGTAGTTTGTTATATTTTTTGAAAATGTTAAAGTTTTAGAAAAAATATATTGTTAGAGAAGGATTCTCATTATATTAAACCTAGAAAAGATCATTTATAAATCACTTGTTAATATGTCATTGTTCTGTTTTTCATTGTTTAGGTGATGTTTGCAGATCTTGCCTTTTTAAGATTCGTTGTTGTAGATGCTAATACCAGTCATATGGTCTGCCAACGTATTATTCCACTCAAGTGCCTTCGCGCAGGTATTAAAACTTCTGTGACAGCTCTGAGGTGCTTTGATGCTACAGAGAATTTCTTCAGCAACATAAAATAATTTTCATTTAATATAAATGTATTAGCACATTTCTGCTGGTGATTTATAAAAAAAAAAAAATTCTGAACTTAACATGAAAAACACAGTGGATATAACTATCATATACCCGGTAATTATTAATCAAAGCCTGTTATAAATCTTTTGAATTTTATTTAACAATTTTGACTGTTTTTTAACAAATATCAATGTGAAAAATAACATGATCAGTACATAGTTTTGAAAGTCATCTGCGTGGTAAATTGAATCATTGACGAGTTTTAGAAACGATATTCAATTTTTTTTTATCATTTGATATAAACATGCTGATAGTATGTGATTTTTTGCATTAAGGATACCGCCATGTTCGACTGCGGAGTCCGACCAACCAACCCCTAGAGCTAGCCACGATCTTCATCAACTCAAAACATGAGGAAGAATCACTGCTGGCGTGCTCTTCCCACGATATCAACGGCTGCCATGACAGTGCCTCAGCAAAACGCCGCCTTGTATTCGCAAAGGTCAAGGACATGAATGAAAAAGATGCTAAAGAAGTAAGTTTGATAAAGAATCAAATACAGATTTGTATTCTATCAAGTACATTGATGGTATTACATTTTACTTTGATTGAAAATATATCTACGTGTAGTTTTACACTCTAGGTAGCCTAAGATTCAATGTCAAATCTTTAATGAATCTTATTTATCCTGCAATAACCCCAAGGGGCCAACACATTACTTCATACTCTGAGTCAAGGGGTGGGCTTATTATAGGACAAGCCCAGATGGCCAACACATATACTTCTTACTGAAAGTTAAGGGTTTATTACAGAACAATACAATAGAATATTTCTATAATTTCACTGAAAAGGAATCTGTATTGGTTGACCAGACATGGACTTATTGTTTTGTGAATCTAATTTGGCAATGGGAGAATTTCCTTATGTGGAAATTTCCTTAACTGCTTGTGGTAGTGCTAGTTAATTGCTTGAAGTGCTTGTGGAAATTTAGCAAAAAACATGTTCATAAGTTATCAAATTAAAGGCACAAATTACTAAATATAGATTTGTGAATTTTTGGCTTGTCTGCTGATGCAATATTTCTTTCTTCCAATTTTAAGCTGAGCCCAACAGGAGCCAAAGTTAAGCGGAGAATGTTCTTCATCAGTGTTTTTGGAGTCAATGCCCCAGATAAATATGTTATTCTCAAGGTCACACAGGACACAACAGTTTACGATACCATAGCTCAGGTAGGGAAACAACTTCTGTACAATCATTTTGTATTCATTTAATGTGTTGTATGTCTGCTATCACAACAAACCAATGATACCTTTTCAGTCATAAAATGTAAATTAACTTAAATAAACTTGTTAATTTTAAGGTAAGATTAACTATGAGCAATGTAATGCAGTTCCTGTAGGATTCATTATTGTTGTCAATGCCAGTGTCACCTACCAAAACATCGCGTAAATTTTTCAAAATTTCGAAGTTAATTAATATTCATCATAAACAATATATATTGTAATGGTTTTGCAACAAATGTTTGGATGATATTAACAGTCATTGATTGGTTCATACAGGCCCTGATGAAAGCCGGCCGTGTCGAGGAGAAGGTGACTGATTACGTCTTGGTTGAGGAGGTTCAGAGTGGATGGGAACGTTCTATGTCTCAGCGTATCCTAGACATGATGGAGAAAGTCCTTATAGCTCAGAACCAGTGGAAGGGGGCTGGTAAATTTCTCCTACGCAAACTCAGCGATGATCCCAGCAGCCGAGCATGGATGACTACAATGTTGTCAATTGAACATAGAGTAAGTGTTTGAATATGCAAGAGAGCTCACCAATAAAATTTACGTACATTTTCAAACTGACAACAAGTTTATTGTTAATACCTTATACTATACTTATCCCACAATCTAAGCCCAGGGGATAAAAACTTGACCTCAGTTACAATTGGCCTTACATGGAACATCAAGTGAAGGTCTGAGATGCGTGGCCCTACTCTTCCTACCCTTGGTAGTTTGTGTTTCTTGATCAGAAATCTTAGAGACTGACAGGTCTGTGCTGAGGTGGCCAGGTGATTTAGCAAGACACCTTAGCTTCATTGCTGTTGATGGCATGCAACATGCCTTCCGTATGTTGCTCGGTGAGGTAGCTACCAGCTTTTATATGGAAACCCTGCCTCACAATGCCCCTTGCTGTTGTTAGACGATAGATCTGGCAAACAAAACAATAAAAATATCCATATTTCTATGGTTGGAATTTTATTACCAGGTTTGGGTATTTTACTGGATGAATATGATGATTTAACTTGAATCATGGTTTGATAAATCATACACCTTGCATACTTTAGTACAAATAAGCTGAGATATATTGAGTCTTAGTACAAATTAGCTTAGATATAATGAGTCTTAGTACAAGTAAGCTTAGATCTCCTGAGTCTTTGTACAAAAAAGCTTAGATATAATGAGTCTTAGTACAAGTAAGCTTAGATCTCCTGAGTCTTTGTACAAAAAAGCTTAGATATAATGAGTCTTAGTACAAGTAAGCTTAGATCTCTGGAGTCTTTGTACAAATAAGCTGAGATATACTGAGTCTTAGTACAAAAAAGCTTAGATATAATGAGTCTTAGTACAAGTAAGCTTAGATCTCTGGAGTCTTTGTACAAATAAGCTGAGATATACTGAGTCTTAGTACAAGTAAGCTTAGATCTCTGGAGTCTTTGTACAAATAAGCTGAGATATACTGAGTCTTAGTACAAAAAAGCTTAGATATAATGAGTCTTAGTACAAGTAAGCTTAGATCTCCTGAGTCTTGTACAAAAAAGTACTTAGTACAAAGCTTAAAGTCTTTGTACAAATAAGCTGAGATATACTGAGTCTTAGTACAAGTAAGCTTAGTACAAGTAAGCTATAGATCTTAGTACAAGTGAGACTGAGTCTTAGTACAAGTAAGCTGAGATATACTGAGTCTTAGTACAAGTAAGCTGAGATATACTGAGTCTTAGTACAAGTAAGCTTAGATATACTGAGTCTTAGTACAAGTAAGCTGAGATATACTGAGTCTTAGTACAAGTAAGCTGAGATATACTGAGTCTTAGTACAAGTAAGCTGAGATATACTGAGTCTTAGTACTGAGTCTTAGTACAAGTAAGCTGAGATATACTGAGTCTTAGTACAAGTAAGCTTAGATATACTGAATCTTAGTACAAGTAAGCTGAGATATACTGAGTCTTAGTACAAGTAAGCTGAGATATACTGAGTCTTAGTACAAGTAAGCTGAGATATACTGAGTCTTAGTACAAGTAAGCTGAGATATACTGAGTCTTAGTACAAGTAAGCTGAGATATACTGAGTCTTAGATATAAGTCTTAGTACAAGTAAGCTGAGATATACTGAGTCTTAGTACAAGTAAGCTGAGATATACTGAGTCTTAGTACAAATTAGCTTAGATATACTGAGTCTTAGTACAAGTAAGCTTAGATATACTGAGCCTTAGATTTCACTCCTCTCTCTGTATCTTGAGTGTTACGATACCATCTACCTTAATGGTGATCCCTAGTGCATCTTGTTAAGAAACAACAATAATGTCTTTGATTTCCAGCGAAAGGTGGAGGAATCTGCAGACACAGCTGACTGGGACAGCGTGGAACAAGTATTCCTTGTGTGTGTGTACAATGTAGCCCCAGACCAGCCATATACAATCTTCAAAGCTCCCACTTCGAGCACGGCCCAGGACATCATCACACAGGTGAATATATTCACTTGTTTTTTTTAAGTAATTGTAACCGTAGAAATGTACAAATGTTAAAACATTCAAGTTTGTTATGACACTGTAAATTGATCATACCAGAGGCTCACCTCCTGTCCTTGACATCACCTGATATTGCATCCCAAATCAATGTTGTCCGACAAAGGACTTTCATTTCATAACAGAATTTTATCAAACTTCAATATTCAGCTTTGACAATACTTTGACAATAAATCCCAAAATGTGCATATAAATGTAAAGAAAGGCAAATTTGATTAAATCCTTAATTGTCTGATTCTGTTGTCGATTCTGAGTTGTTTCCCTTGATACAATTTGTACCAATATAATCCATAATGGAATCCTTGATGTTCTGTCTTTTTTGTAATACAGAGTTGTCTGCTCTTGTGACATCATTTGTTTATGATAGTAACGTTACGAAAAAAACTTCATTTTTTCTTTTGAACTAATGATATAACAATCAATGCCTGCTCACAAGACCGGATAACTCTGAATTAAAAAAAGGCAGAATGGCATTTACATGTATAACAATATATAATTTTGAGGAATAAAGAATTATCTCCCTTGACCAGGCAATGATGAAGGCACATCGGACAGACACAGACAACTTACGTAAACTAGTTCTAGTTGAGGAACTGGAAATGACAGCAACAGAGTCACTAGGGGTCCATGCGCGGCGCCATAGTGGAGAACATATTGAACGCAGAATTCTATCTCCAGATGAAAATGTTTATACAGCCCAATCGGAATGGATAACCAACGGAAGATTTGTGATCATGGATTATGCAGAATTCGAATCTAGTGAAAATCAGGTGAAATACTACCATTTTGAAAAATTTATCCAACCAGTTATTCAAAAAATGTTCAAAATAATTAGCTCTTTAGATGTTTTTCCTTCAATTTATAGAAATCATAATAGCTCCTCATACTTGCTTGCTTAAATTTGAGGAATTTGTTAAGGGTTCTTGCTGATGATAATTTTTTCATCCTAGTTAGAGCTACAATATCATGAATGTTTACATTTTTTGCGTCACAATTACTTTATATGTTAATTAACGTGATGATTAAGTTCTAATTGAATGGACTTCATGACCTTTCACAAAACAGATTCAAAAACAATGAATGAACCCGAATATTTAGAAAAAAAACAGCAAAACATAACAAAAACAAAAGAAAAAGAAAAAACAAATCTTAAGTCTGAAAATCTACTGCTTCTGTAATGTCTAATTGTAGTACATGTATGTATGACAGTGTTACCATGTTAAGAAAATTGACATGAAACATTCGGTCATTAAAGATTTAAGGAATTTTGAGTTTATTTGTTGCCCATGCAGGACATTTTGAGTTAAATTGAAATAATGTATAAAAAAAGGATGGGAAGAAAAAAAGCAAGATTAGTTAATTTTTTTTTTTTCTCATTTATTTTTTTTTTATTTTTTCAGGATAAGAAGAAGGGCAAATCAGCAAAGACAAAATCAGAAAAAGGGATTATCGCCAAACAAAAGAGTACAAAACGCCTGTCAAAGTCTTCATCTGTTCCTCCAGAGAAAGATCTCTTTTGTTCTGCCACTTCAGGTATAAAATAGGACTTATAAACTAGTTCTTAATGATTTTATGAAAATGCAAATCTGGTATAGTTATGGCAATGTATAACACACGAAAAACTTTGTGCGCACATCATTGAATCATTGTGTGCACATCGTGATTATAGGCATATTAACATTGATTGACTAAATAGCGATTACAGGCATGTTAACATTGATTGGTGATTATGAAAGTCATTTTTGTTTCAACAGTTTTCAAAATAATACTGTATCCTGCATTAATTAGTCTTGCTATAGTTTCACACATTGGAGAAAGGCGAGTGGTGTTTCGGGCAAAAAAATGACCTGTATACAAGTAAATATGAGGCAGATCTTTGCTGATATTTGAACTGTAGTGTACTGGGACAAAGGGTCATCAGGTTTGTTCTTATTATTACCTTAACATGCTTTCAAGGTCACAGGTGTCAAGTATGGCAAAACCTTTAAATGACTACTTCTCAATAACAAAAAGGTAGCTGATGTTAAGTCTGTAGCATGCTTGGATGAAGCACTACCAAGTCTTATCATATGAATTTCATTGATCAACTTTCAAGGTCACAGGCATCAAATGTGTTAAAATGTTAAAATGACTTCTTCTCAATAACCAAAATACACATGGTGCTGCTAGTGAGCATTACATAATTAGATGAAGGGCTGCCAAATATTGAAATGATTGACCTTGATCTACATGCAAAGTCTCTTGGATGAAATAAGTTGAAATCATAAGATTCTTTTTTCTTTCCATTAAGTAATAGTTCCAGAGTAATGGTGTTTGTGTAGTAACATGTTTAAGGAATGGGATTTCGAGTTTGCAGAAAATGTTTTTAATGAACTGACAATATCTTCTGTGTAAGCTGTTAAGTAGTTTAGCAATGAAGATCTATTTGGCCTCTTTGATATATAGGTCTTTATAGTCAGATCACCGTTAAATCCTGTGGGCCACTTGATTTTTATAACCAGATGTTTTGATTAATAGCGTTTGTTACTGATAGTAAATAACCAGGAGCAAACTTTGTGAGATATACAATGACATTTATTTCTGTCCGAAGATAAATATTCAAAATATACTGAATGAAATCATCCTGTCAAATGCTGTGCTAATACTTCTTTTTATCATTTAGTAAAATTATGTTGTAATCATTTGACACATATATACTTACTGCCTGACTGATGACAGGGGTTAGTTTTTTTGAGTAATTAGCTCATCTGGTCTGTCTGTTAACTGTCTCCTGTTGTCTGGTGTCCATTTTAATGACTTCATCTCAATATCAAAACTGACTAAATGCCATGGTATTTGTCTGGTTGGTTTCTGAAGCCCAACAAAGTATACAAATAGACATGACCTTGACTCATATTCAAAGTCATGAGGTCAAATTTATTGAAATATTTATACAACTTCTTCTGACTAACCAAAATGCCAAGAAGCATGATATTTGGTTGATCGGTCCTAGTATGAATCCAGACAAAGTCTACAGACAGAACTGACTTTGATCCATATTCAAGGTTGCGTAAAATTTGTTAAAACCTTGAAATAACTTCTGATCAACTAAAATACACAGGAACATGATATTTGGCTGATATGTTTCAAAGATGAAGCCTGACAAAGTTTGGTAAAAGGAAATGAACTTGACATATATTTAAGGTCACAGGTGTCAAATTGGTGTTTTGATTGACCAGAAGACTGAGAAGCATGATGTTTTTGTCTGATAGGTTGATGAGATAAAGGCTGACAATTGTTTGGAAAAGAAATTACCTTGATCCATCTTTAAGGTCGCAGGAGTCTATTTTGTAAAACCATTAAATATCTTATTAACTGCCAAAAGGCCCAGAAGCTAGCAATATTTGGCAGATATATTAATAAATGAAGCCTGATTGAAGGTAGCTTAAAACAGTGGTGTGAAATGCTTTGTATTGGATACTAGCATTGAATACCATATTAGCAATACAGGCCCTTTGGGCCCATATGTTGTCTTCCTTTCGTTTTCACCTCAGAAAGCATTCAGTGGGCTTCCAGCATGTTTTTCAGTGAGGTAGCTACCAGCTACAAACAAACAGACTGTGCTTCAAAATAAACATAGTTATTCATGGGACAATAAACCCAACAAACATTGATCATGATGTTCTAATTTGTTTTTTTTCAGGTTCTTCAAGTGGTGGATCCTCGATCTTTCCTGACCTTAGTCAAGCTCTTTTATCTCAGCAGGCCACACCAAAGACTTCATCCAAGCTCAAGAAGTTTTCAGCCAAATTTTCATCCAAGTCTTCTAAGTGATAAACTACTCCTAATGAAGTGATGATCTGTTGTCACACATATATACATGTGTATGTAACATTAGTGTGGCTGAACAATGAAACTGAAGTGTAAACATGTGATGCAAAATTGATAAAACTTGATTTAAGATATCTAGAGCTGCTTTGTCAGAAATGAAACGTTGCAAAATAAATGGAGCCATATGACCTGATTGTTTCTTGAAAAAAAATAAGTTGCAGTTTCCCAGACAATATGTAATGCTCCTTGATCTGATCCAAGTCGTGCCCCAAAAAAAGCAAGTTTGAAACTGTTCCCAGGTTTTATAGAAGAATTGAATTCTTTTAAAGAGACCTGAACATTTTTACTGTGATTATCTCCCTTTAAAGAATAATGAAATGTTAGTGGACAATTCTGAAAAATTCTTAAATAGATTGGTATCATTTTGGGGTCTTGATTTTGATATTGTATGTGTATATATTCATTTTAGTGTTTTAGATGGACACCATACAAAGATAGAGACAAAACTGACCAATGCCTTTTCATTGTATGATCGTATTTTTCGGTAATAGATCAATGCCTGGTAATAAGCACACCCATAATCCATAGCTATATATTAATGTTCTGTGATAAGCCAAACCCCTGACTTGGAGTTGAAATTATTGTGATTAGACCCTTTGGCTTATTGTCCTTTGATAAGCCCATCCCCCTGATTTTGAGTCAGAAGTGCTATGTTTGACCCCTTTTGCTTATTGAAGGATAAATCAAAGATAAAGCATAAAGCAATTTTCATTTCTGAAAAAAAAAAGATTTATTAATTTTTAAAGAAAATTGTTTTTCTTTTGAGTTTATGAAATTGTCCATTACTGTTTTTTTAATTTGAAAAACTGTGGAGTTAAAGAATGTTGTATCCAGCTCTCATTTCGTCTGAGGAGGTGTTGTGGGAAGCTCAGGAAAACTCCAACCAAATTCATCTTTACATTACAAAAAGTTTTTAAATCATATCTTAAAGTCAAAACAGTTGAGAGATTTTCTTATTGTCAGCAAATTAACTGATGTCACTCGGTGTGTGTAGCCTCCTCGACATTCGTATAAATATTTACATTCCAGAAACATCACTTTGTGGAGTTTTCTTATTTTTGAACAAGTTCAGAACTGAAATTTGAATTCCTGAAGAAAAAGTACTGTACAAATGCTTTGAGAAGTATTTGAAAAGGAAATGGTTTCTGAATACTGCGTATCTAGCTTTAAGGACAGAAGACAAAATCCACTTTTTTTTGTCATGAAATTTCATTCAATATATGAAGCACTTATATATATACAATGTATATTTACACTAAATAAATGTTTAGATGGTATGATCTAAGCAAGCAATAAGTTCTTAAAGTAGTTGAAAGTTGCAGTTTTTAAACGGAAATTAAATTACTTGAATATTGTGTGTTAAAGACGTTGACAGAAAACTTCTTTAAAAGTGACATGATATTTAAGTTTATATTTAGTGGATATATATAAGTGGATTGATTAGTGTATCAGAATAGTACAATGTATTTGTATACTGTAAAATCATAAATTTTTGTAGGGGATTAATTTTCATTGATTTGGTGCATGCTCTTGATTCATGAATTCATATGTCAATGAACTGTTGAAATTAGTATAAGTACATTTATATAGCTGCATTTCTCCACAGGGTGTTCACAAACAAATATTTTTTTGGGGTGGGGGAGTGGGGGGTGGCGGGAAATCCACGAAAATTTGGCCCCACAAATATATATGATTTTACAGAAAATATTTTCTCATCTATTCATAGATTGCTGTAAGGATCGCAGCAGGATGAATTTCCTATTTCGGTCCCTGTCACATTTCAAGTTTTCTGATGTTCATTTAAGTTGGTATCAATTCAAATAAATGAAAAATAGTTTCATCATACTAAAACAAAGTTTGTCATTTTTTCATCATTTTAAGAAGCGTAAAACTTGGTTGGAGTAATTGTATAAAATTTCATGTTTTGAAAATGTTTCATCCATACATACGTGAGTAGGTAGCTTAGTATCTATAAAATCAATGGTTCGATAATGATTCCTTGTTATGTTAATTTGAATACTATATATGTACTATAATATCATGATAATTAAGCTTCATGATTATTACACAATGATATAATTTTTCATATGTATGATTTATATATCTATATATGTATATGTGCTCGTTTTTTATTAGTTGTTATCCCCCTCCCCCTCCCCTCCCCCTCACGGACCCCCATTACCACCCCTACCACCACTCCCACCCTCACCCCTCCACTCCAACATACTAAGCTAAATAAGTGATCCTTGTTAATTTTTGTTTGTTGTTTTTGTAAAGAAAATAAAAATTATCCCGGTCAAACTAGAAATCCCACGGAAAGTATTTTCCTACAAATTAGTAATATTCTTTACATAGTATAACATATATATAATTCTAACTCCTGTGATTTAAAAGAAATATATATATATATATAAATATATATGATAATATAATTTTAAAGTTTTATTTATTTACATTTAACTGCATATTCATAGATGTTTTTATTTATATGGTTTGTCACAAATGAATGAGAATAAATGATTATAATGTATGGTTCATATGGTCTTTTTACCTGTATTTAGAAATAGAATATAAAAAGTGTCTCGATGTTGTTGAAAGAACTCACAATAACTACCTAGTTAATGTACCTGAAACTGGTTTGTAGATTTCAAGGTGTATAACTGAGTATGATAACCATATCCTATAATTATTTCTATACAAATATTACCAGAAAATGATGAAAGATGACTTCAATTGTTGACATACGTGCTTTAATTCATTTTTAAATTTCTTTTTATCAAAATTTTAAAATAATCTGCTTGTACCAATTTGTGATTATATAAATTCAAGTTTATAAGACAAGACGTCAAAATACTTGGATTCACCATTACATTAACAAAAGTCAATGTCCATTAAAACCAGAGATTTCTGCCTAGGTCATTCCTGATCTGCATATCTCATCCATTTGGAGTTTAGCCAGTTATTTACATATAATATGTATTTACATATATTCATGTGTTCACAGTAAGAGATTTCTAACATATTTCAACACATATAATAGTTCTAGGGATTTGGAAAATATTTTGATGAAATAGAGCATCTACTGTAAACTATTTATACAAACAATAAAATGAGGTCAGGACGACAGCCAAACCGCTTCTGTACAGTCAGGTCAGTTAATAAATTCTAGATGCATTTTTTTGTATTCATGTAATTATCAAAATTATGCAATGTATATTTGAATTCACATTTGAAGTTTGTTGCAAATTAGTGCAAAATTTAAGTAATCTACATCATTTAATATCTATTAAACTACTTTTGTAATTTTCTGATGAAGCTGATCTTTCATCAAAAAAATGTGACATTTGAAACTATTTCATGTTGAATAAAGGCATGGCAGAGATTTGTCATGTCTGATTCAAACTGCACAAATTATTTCCGGAATAAAAAACCTAGAATCAATATAAAAAGCCCTTTTCTAATTAGTAACCCTATTTATTATGTGATAAACCCTAGAAGGCGTCATGTAAACTCTCACTCTAAGTGATATAGTATCTGTTGGCATTTCTAATATCTTGCAATAGGGTGGGTGTATTATCAAGCATGGGCTTATTAGCTGATACATATATATATATATACATAGTTAGTAATTTTAAAGAAACAGTTTTCATTTTCATAAAACCGGTAAGATTAAACAAATTTGGAAACCATTTTAAGGAATAAAAATTTTGAAATGATGCGAGAACATTTGAGATTTAAATCTATTATATCTGTAATTGTATTTGATTAATGAAGGAGTATTCACATCCTTAAGATTTATGTTAAATTTTTGTACTACTGCTTACAGGAAAACCATACAGAATTTGTGTTTTTATTTCTTTCCTCTTAATTCTGATTTGCATTTTTTTTTATTTATAACTTTTGTAAAATTATTTGTAAATAACCAAGTGTGAAAAAACAACAAGAAAATACCAAGATATAAACAGAATCATAATCCAAACTAAAATCCAATAAATCTAGGGCAAAATACGAACAAAAGAAAGATTTACAAGGTGAAAAAGTACAAGGAGAATAAGATCAGGTGTCCTTGCTGCTTCATCGATGTCCCGCAGTATAGATCTTGGTCACTCCAAGCAAGTAATGTCACATTCTCAAATAAGAGCAAGGTACACCACAACTGAACCAACACGTCCAGCTTCCTTTTGCACAGAGAAATAGAATGTTTCTCAGTGAGGTCACAAATTGAACAAAATCTTTTGAAAAATAATGTACATGAAAAGAGTTTGGATGGAATATTTACAGTGAAATTGATACTGTACTCACAGTTGACTTTAAGTGTAGCACACCAATTTAGCACATACTACCCCATACTTCCACATTGCAAAGTGAATTTGCGTGTTTTTTGGCTGACTGCAATACACATTTATGCAGTTCAGAACATAGAATTGATACTTGTTGCTAAGATCATAAGTATTTTTAATTAAATAAAAAAGAATCACTTTTTGTAGAACTTGATTTAACAGTGTTCAATAGTACGTTGTAGTAGGTGGAATTATGGGACATTGAGTAAGATTGGGTAAATCAATGTGCCCTTAAGGTGTGTTGTTTGTGCTACTTTACCAATACAACATAAAAAATATTTCTCTGAAGAAAATGATATATACAGTTATATCATTTAAAAACAAAACTATTGATTTGGAAAATAAACTTTTAATTTGATGATTAAAAATGGGTGTCTGTCTTATTAAATATTTTAAGAATTAATTCTTTATGCACTGAATGACCATTTTGTTCTTTGTTGAATTTTCTCTGTTATTTTCTATAAATATATATAAATCTGACAGTACTTTATGTAATTAATGGTCTTTATAGATAATACTATATGTTGTGAGAGAGCCCTTTTTGGCAGCCAACAAAATTTTGTATATTGTAACATGGAAGATTGTTGTAGTGCTATATTGTCA